TTCCATGACGATATATTAGTTGAGACATGCATATCTACAAAACGAATATTCGTTATTCTTATTTTTGAGTTATGACTAAACGAGTGATTAACTATAATCTCCAACAAATGTCATATACTATAAAAAGTAGTAATATTAATAAAGTAATAGATAAATATTGCTAAATTAATTATATTGCACCACTGATTAGCTATTAGTAATTAAAAATTAAAGTAATGTTTATATTCCCCAACCGTGCGTTTCCATTCACTTTGAATAATCAAATATTCCTAACCAACAATTTGAAGCAAACGGTCCTCTACTTTTATTGTTCGTTTTCTCTTTATATTTTTTAATAATTTGTATTATCTGTAAAAGGTACCTTTTCACGTCGAAGTATTTACAAGCTGAGTAAAATACAATACTACGCATATTTCTTACTTTTTTTTGAAAAATACATATTTCTTACTTACGTTTAAGTTTCTGCAAATGTATCAATTAGCTTAGTAAAAAAAATATCTAATAATACATTTTGTCGACATAACATTTAGAGGATATAACAACGATAATCGCACTTGGTCACCGTTCATATTCCATTTTTTTATCACTACGATACAATCATGATCTGTACTTAATTTGCAACCAAACACTCAATATCGTCTACATATAATGTCATTTACAATCAACGAGTCAGATTTTATTTCGGCTACGCCTAAAAATATCTGTCGAGATTTTGAATACTTCGTGAAGTCACATTTCATTATTTATTCCTTCTTTATGTTTTATTATCTATTACATTTATTTCCTCATTAATAATGTTTGCTTATTTTGTCTCCATCAAATACATGATGTAATATATGTGAAAGATATATGGTGCAACTAATTGGATTAGTTTCTAACAAAAACAAAATTGAATGATATAAAAAGGAAAATCAATTAGATTTTTGTTTTATCATCTATAAAAAGGAAAATCAATTAGATTTAAAAATTAGTTAAATTATACAGACCTATCTAATTTTATCATCTATACTGAATGGATAAAATTTGTTTTTATTTCGTTAGGCAAAAAAAACTATCTTTAATTTTCAATATTTAACGTTATCACTGGAATTGATGTGATACGTAGTGCATAATATTCCATGCAGATAAGAAAACCTT